ACTAAATTGGGGCTTCGTTAGAAGTAGTAGGGTCTCCGTGGTGAAGTGGTCTAGCCGCTTGCCTCAATCTCTGAAGGTCGAGGGGTTGGTTGGTAATATTATAGTTATTTGACATGAAGCAAATTTTTTATTGTTCTTATTATCATTATTAATATTACACTCTAACACAAAACTTTGTTCTGTACAACCCCCCCCCCCCCCCCCCCCCAACCCTCCCCCCCACCCCCTATAAAACTGAAGGAGACTTTCTAAATTCTTCATTGCTCCCTTATCTTTGTCGTGTAGTACACATACCGACTCGTAAGATTTGTTTTGTGGACAATTTTCACTTTGAATGTGTTCATTATTTCTCCGGTTGTTAATGTTGTTCTCATTATAATGAAAGTATTTGTGGCAATTCTTGTTCTCTTTTATATTTCTAGTCTATACCAGGCTTATTATCCTCTGTCATTACATTTCCAAGATAATTTTTACTTGACACAATTTCATCCACTTTGATGTTTCTCCTTCGAAATATTAATTACAATAGTTTTCATGTAGGGATTATTACAAAGAATATCAACTCCACTTTTTGCACTCTTAAGATTTACTTAACCCAGTCAAAAGTATTTATATTCTACATACTGACAGACATCAATATCTGATGTCAGCGTATGGCGTATATTACAGTTGTTAAATGTAGAATAGCGTAAGCAAAAGGCCGCATTTTACAAAATGAAGAATATTCAACACAATCTTTCTTTGTCAAATGTGACGAGACAGATAATTCGCAAGAATTATATAAATTATATCTTAATATAAGGGAGTCAATCATGGACAGTTGGGGAGGATGAGTGAACAACATTGTGAAAGCGGTGGAGATGTGGTTTTCTAGACGACTTATGAGATTACCTTGACTAATAACTTTTTTTTTTTTAAGTAATATTTTTTTTAAAGAAAGAGACTCACGCAGAGAACTGATTTCCACACACCAGAAGGTGACACTCTACATTCTTTCGTCATGTCTTGAAGGAGAACACTGTGGTGCATCTTGAAGGAGACAGTCTATATTCTTTAGTCATGTCTTGAAGGAGAACACTGGGGTGCATCATAAAGGAGAACACTGTGGTGCTTCGTGAAGGAGACAGTCTACATTCTTTCGTCATGTCATCAAGGAGAACACTGTGGTGCATCATGAAGGAGAACACTGTGGTGCATCATGAAGGAGAACACTGTGGTGCATCATAAAGGAGAACACTGTGGTGCTTCGTGAAGGAGACAGTCTACATTCTTTGGTCATGTCATCAAGGAGAACACTGTGGTGCATCATAAAGGAGAACACTGTGGTGCATCATGAAGGAGAACACTGTGGTGCATCATAAAGGAGAACACTGTGGTGCATCATAAAGGAGAACACTGTGGTGCATCATGAAGGAGAAAACTGTGGTGCATCATAAAGGAGAACACTGTGGTGCATCATAAAGGAGAACACTGTGGTGCATCATAAAGGAGAACACTGTGGTGCATCATAAAGGAGAACACTGTGGTGCATCATAAAGGAGAACACTGTGGTGCATCATAAAGGAGAACACTGTGGTGCATCATGAAGGAGAAAACTGTGGTGCATCATAAAGGAGAACACTGTGGTGCATCATAAAGGAGAACACTGTGGTGCATCATAAAGGAGAACACTGTGGTGCATCATCAAGGGGAACACTGTGGTGCATCATAAAGGGGAACACTGTGGTGCATCATAAAGGAGAACACTGTGGTGCATCATCAATGGGAACACTGTGGTGCATCATACATTTGATAAAACTGGAGGAGGGAAAGCAGAGGGAGACCCGAAGTGAAGATGCTGGATAGTTTGACATCATGGCATACAGGATCCTCTGTGCCAGAACTGACTGAAAGTACGCGTGACAGAAGGTTGTGGATAGACATGACTTCCAACGCCACACAGCTTGGACTACAAGAAGAATACGAGTGCCCGCTTGTCTCTTCTTTTTGCTTCTGTATATATAAGTACCCATCAGTACAATAATTTTATAATTACAAGAAGCAGAAGGTTGTGGATAGACATAACGAT